CAGACGCAGCTGCGCCGGCGCGGCGACGCGTCTGGGCCGCGGAAGCGCCGCGAGAGACAAGATACTCGTATCTGGGCGGCGCGGCGGCCGTGACCCGGCGACGCCAAGCCACGCGACGCGACGCGTCGGGGCCGCGGCACAGAACGCTCCAGTGCAGCGCCGCGGGTGAGCCTCGCATCACTCGAATTCAGCCGCTGTCTGAAGGAAAATTGTAGCGGCCGACTGATCTGATCGGTATTTTCCGTGGTTTCTCCGATCAGCACCTGGCGAATGACGGAGCAGTTTCCTAACAAACGGGCCAGGGATCGTGGGCTTGATCTTTCTTTCCTCTTTCCCTTCATAACCTCTCCCCTTATATACATTTACACGCACGACACAACGACACATGTCGGAATATCAGTCGGAAGCTTACAGCTTGTCCCGACTGGAACGGTGCTCCGCTGGAAGGAGATACCTGGTTGGGGAAACGCTGCAAGCCGACGTATAGGTCCACCAACACACAAACAAAAACAGATCCAACAACAAAATTTAATCAAAAGCGACGAAACATTTTTTTATTTGGAAAATATCCCTAAGGCTTCATGGCATCCAAAATTAAAATATCGGTTTCAAATTGAAGGGGCCGCGTCATCAACCAGATCGCTTCGGGGATATCAATTTTGAAGAAACGGTTTAGCCGCTAGCGTTGTTCACAGGCCGACGAACGTTTTGCTGTCAATCGATTTTTCAGTATTGAGGACCCACAAAACATGGATTCTGACTTTAACACTTGTTAGATGATTTTTTTTCTTCTAAATTCAGCATCAGGATTTACCCACGTTTTGGTTGCTAGGTCCATGTAAAAAAAAATATTTCTGCCGAAAATTCAGTTTTCTTCGCGCAGTATTATATAACTTTCTCTCTACCTTGGTAATAATAGCGAGAAAGTAATACATAAACATCCCCTCTAATTAAAATTAAATCAATAATGATATAAAGGTACTTTTTATTAATAATGAAATAAAGGAAGAGTTACTTCATTATTACTGCAGGTTTAATGTTGATTAGTGCAAATTCCGTAAATAGAATGAGTTAAGGGCCTCCTTTTATCATTGGAATAGAGTATATCTTTTAACAAATTAAATTTTCATGGTAATTGCTTCTGAAATGAAGTCTGGACGGGAGTCCGAGAGTCGGGCATGGGTGGACGTTTCCTGCTCTTACGATGATTCTTGCATCCTAACGTTTTTACGGACGGGCGCTGAAAAGGAAGAGCTTCGTAATAGAGAACTTCAGTCTGCCAACGCACCCTTTCAACTCCTCCGCCTCTAAGTTCGTGTATTAGCAACGTTAAAAAAGTGTTGTATTACGTTGAAAAATATCGTAGCTCAACAGATTTTGTCATTGCTAATAAACGAAGAAATAAATGACAAGCACAAGAGAAGTTAAATGTATTCGTTGATGTTCTTAAGGGCTTCCTATGGAACGCTTCGGAAAGCATTTATGGAATGCTTCACATATTCGATGTCTGCTTTATTAAGTGGTAGAAAGTATAACATGAACTGAACTGGTATATATTTTTATCACGAATATTTATGTTTATTGTGCGTTTATGCATTTAAGAGGGTAATAATCGAATTTTTTTGTATTCTCTTTCTTTAAAACTATCTTGAAAGCTTCCATGATGATCACAGATGATCGAGCATCTGCGGGGTTTTTCTTTCTGAAATTTGTGCTCATAATTTGCATATTCGCTACGTCTTATTTTTCGAGGAGATTCCCTTCACCCCATTCATAGTCTCTTCACCAATGGGTTCGTAACTACGTATCAATCAAATTTTTCTTGCCGATTTTAATAGTAAATGGGCGGTTACTTCTAAAATAAATATCCTTAAGAACTTGTAATTGCTGAACACGACAAACAGGACGAACTGCACGAACACTTAGCGTCGAGGTACGCCGTCCCGCCGAGCACCATTACAAGCTGTACCTCTTCGAATGTCGCATCAAATTGGAAATTTATAGTGCATAAATGAATCAGGAAATTATTGCTAATGAGCATTCTGGCGTCAATGTTCAATTCAAGACGAAACACTCGAAACTCTTCGTACTAAATAGTTTATTAACTTGAAATAAATTAGTAACTTTTATTGGGTTACCAAATAACTTCCGAATACTTCCTTTGTGAACTGTGCAAAAGAATCTGACAAACTGAGTTTCGTCTGACATTTTACTTCTCTTATTTTGTTGATAAGACTCACGATAAAGATTGTTAAAATTCAACTACATTACTTTATTATCAGAATTTTGCAATAAGAGGAAGAAAAATTATTTCTGAAGGGCACTGCGCCGACACAGGGGTTCCGGACGGAGCTGCCAATGAGTCAGAGTCGTCAATTTTCCTAATCCAATTCATATAATTTAAAATTTCCTTTTGTTGTCGTTTGTATCGAGAAAATTAAATTTTCCTTCTCCAGATTAGAACATTGTATTATACCACCGTTGTGTACATCCACGTTGGTAAATTGTCTTAAATGACAAATACTTCTAAAAAATCAATGGAAAGTTAGTCAGTAAAACGCCTCATAAATTTGATCAAAAAATGTACATACGATGTTGATAAGTTTATGTGGATGAAAAAATAATGATTTTCATTGTTATGAAAATACATAACAATTTTATATAACATATTGAAATAAATTATTCATTATCTCAACTTGACGTGTTCAAAGCAAAAACGCATGTTCTTTAGATCGAAACTTACAATTCGTCACAAACCGAGATACGCTCACACGTTCTCGGTTAACATCGTTAAAAATACTGTCCGAGTCCAAATGCAGGAAAATATGCCTCAGTTCAATGCAGTAATAGTTACTTCGCATTTCTTTTACCTTTTTAATTTTATATTTCATTCATTCATTTCCTTTACTTTTACTATTTCATTCTGTTGATTTAATCTTATTTCATTTATTATTTTATTCATCCTTCCATTCATCGCTATGTCCATCCATCCAGCCATCGCTATGTCCCTCCATCCATCCATCCATCCATCCATCCATCCATCCATCCATCCATCCATGTCCATCCATCCAAGTTCATCCATTGATGTCTATCCGTCTCCATATCCATCCATCAGATTCCACCCATCCATTACCCATTTTATAATTTATTAATCCATGTATTCATTCATTCATTCATTGTCGAATGTATATGAGCAGGATGGCGGCCGGCGGAGGGCGGGCGCTGCTGCGGTGGGCGTGGGCGCTGGGAGTAGCACTGGCGCTGGGCGTGGGCGGGGCAAGCGCGCTGCGCTGCCCTCGGGAGCCCTCGCCCGACATCACCCGCGCCCTGCGCTCCCCGGGCGACAGGGGCTACCGCATCCTCATCAGCGGCGAGCCCGACTACTACGTGCCCGACGCCGTCTACACGCGTGAGTACCAGCGGCGGCTCAGCTCTTCACATTCCGGGGAGGACAAAACAATAATTTTCCTTTCAAGGTACTCTTCATTCAATCACTTGTAATTATTGTATCATGAACGATGAAATGATACGAATTCTCTTCTTCTCACTTCAAGACGTGTCCTCTTACCAGAAGCTGTTAATTAATACCGTGCGAGGATGATCAATATGTAGTGTTTTGAGGACAAAAAATGAATTGTCCTGCGTATTACTCTCTAGGGGAGGCTTCTGTCATCAAAGATTGCGACGTCATCGTTGAGTCAACTGCGCGACTCAATGGGAACTCGCAGGTCAGGACAGAAATGGCTCTCATTCAAAGATACCGGCCTTGCTAACTGCATGGAATCAGAAAACATACGTCATTCGGATCCATCAATCGAAGTTAAGCGTATAAATAATTTTGAAAGACATAATAATGTCTTAAAATATTTTACGATTGAAATGTGATTGAGATTATGATTCGAATAATATATTGTGCAACATTTTCACAAATTCGGCTACGTTTATAGATTGACGTATTAAGCAAGAGCTCTCAGTAACACTAACAAAAGATTGAAGCACGTCAAGCAACTCGAGATCACTTATAGTTAGCTCATAAAAACGACAACAAAGAAACAGGCTATATTCTTCATGTCTTCCGGGCTGATGGGTCCTGGTCCAATTGGCTTTGAACTGCCAAACGTTTCGCCCACGACTGCGGTGGGCATCGTCAGTGGCGAGGTCTCGGGCGGTTCGAAGCTAATTAGACCACAGCGCATCAGCCCGGAAAAAATGAAGAATATTGACTCCGGCCATGAAAGCCTTCAATGCTATATAAAGAAACAAGCTCTTCGTGTGTGGTCATATTTGACAGGGACCGAAGTGTTTGGCAATTATCTTTTACAAGGATGATTATTGTTTTCTGATAAACAACCAGAACAATAATTCTCTCGAAGAAAAATAAGAGTACCGAACGTGTTTTCGAACGATACCAGTACAAATGTCTTCTGACAATCCTGTCAAACAGCACGCGAGTCTCGAAAATATCACAGCACAATGCAAAGAAAAATTTGATTAGTTTCTATCTATAGAATGGAGAGCCTTTACCCCTATTATACCCAACGAGAACTCGATTTTCGACTATTTTTCGTACGTTGCCCTAGTAGCACCTCCTTTTATTAGGAAAATGTCCATGATTATAAAAATAAATTACCCATTTAAATGTAACCTTTTGATATTTCATGCCCGAAGGTGCATACAACTTCACATTATGCTGCATCTAATGCTCTGAAGACGTCCAGGAGACAAGCGTTCCTGGAAATTGCAAAGCACAGAATTTTTTTTTTCGAGAGTAAAAACAAACCTTGAGGGGTCGTGACTGCTATTTTCGAGTTGAAAGAAAGTTTGAGAACGACTAGGTTGGTGATGGGAAGCACCTGGCCTGTTCTCATGTATGAATTATTAGTCATCGTTAGGAGCAGTCGAACAAGAACTTTTGGAAAATCAGCAAATGAGCTTTGAGAGTCCTTTACAGACTGAATTAATCATTTGAATGACTTCTGCAAACTATGTTCACAACTATTGCTAATTCATTGTTGGTTGCTATTGTCAGTTTCGGCCGACCATGTGCATACCACTGTGTGAATGTCATATAAAAGGACGAAAACAATCGAGTACGCAATATTTACAAACAAGGCACTGGCAACCACGAACTTGCAACTTCAACAAAACCAGAAGCGGCCCGTTTTGTTTCTAGAGTGTTTCCCCTCGGGTATGTAGCGTAGGCATAGCGTAGGCTTGTCACAGAAGCGACAGCTTGAAGAAAATATCCTGGACCCATATTCCCGATCCCATCTTATTTCTTAGGGTTCGGTTTTCAGTTTCAAAAGAAAGGTTATTGGCATCATTTTCACATTTTGGGACATTTTTCCACTTTCAATTGACTTATTTGCTTTATAACTAAACATTTATTCATTTTAGAATTTACAGCACTTCAACCTAAGTCATACATAGTTTTTACTGTTTTTTTTAACTAAATAAATTTAAATCTAACCTCGAAAGTGAGCACGAAATCGGTGAGCACTCGCGCCTTCTTCCAATTTTTGGTCACAACCACGATTTCTCTGTAGCAGGAACAAAACACAGGTTCTTGGCAGACTGCGTGCGTACTCCTTAAGAAAACCTCAAAGATTAAATGTGGCAAATAGCCCGCAACTCAGCGCAGCCTACAATGAATTACAAGGAGTGCAATGGACCTGCTGGTTATCATTTTGGACACAACTGCATTGACCGTAGTTATATTGGCATGTGAATAAAACACGAAAGTTCCTTGACACCATGTGTTTAAGTGCATAGCACGCTTGTCTAGTGTGAGGCGTGTTTTCTACACCGACAATATTAATCGACAGTTCACCGATTACACGGAGAAACGAAGAAACGTTGCAGGCACCGCAGCGTCTGAGGTGGCGCGGCACCGGATTGAGTTGCGCGCCAGGAAGTGTCTTAAGCCCGATTTTCTCAAAGAATATTTTTCTTTTCGGAAAAATGGTTCTGCCTTTCTTCACGAAACTTAACATAAGAGTTATTTGTGTCACAGTAACTTCCGGATATTCTGTATATCATCCTAATTTACCTGATTTACACCAAAGCTCGCACTGTTTTCCAAATGTTTTATTTACAATGTTACGTTTTATTTAAACATTATTGTCCAGTTTCCTGAAAAGGGGCGATCCCTCCTACATTATATTGAGGAGCCCGACAAGGCCTGGACCCTACAGAGATAGGTGAAGGCTTGCTCTAGTGAATCGTCGCCGATAGAACCCTCATGTGCCCAGAACCTGGACAGGGACCGAGCTTGCGCGTCTCGTGTTTAACCCTTAAGGCGGTTCCACACAATTGTTATTCGGCGAGTAGCAAACAACCGCTCACCGAATCCCACGTAGTGTGCATGAGTTGCTTGATGTTGGCCGAATGTCGAACATTCAATGCTCGCCTTGAATCCACCGCATGTCGGTCTTTTGGACACATCAAAGAAAGCGAACAGTCGCCGAACACATCAGCTTTTCGGTATTGAGCGAGCAGTTGCTCGCTGCTCGGCGAATGCCGAATATGACCCGAATGTTACGAAGACGTCTACTGATCCATTGCGATGCCCGACCTTTTTTCCCGCGTCTCGTGTCTCACTTTAGCGTCTCTCTGACGGTACCTCCCTTTCCCCCGGGCCATTCGGGCGTCACTTCTGTCTGGACGAAATGCAGGTCGTCACTAGTCCGTTATCGGGCAATGCACAATTCCATCCCGAAGGAGATTACCAGCACAAACGTTCATGACAGTTCCTATCCTGGAAGCCCGTTCCTAGCCTGGAGCTGCCCGTTATGCAGTCGATTCCGCTATATTATTTATTGCTAGTTTTATTTTTTTCTAGGGTTTTTATCCAGCCGGCGGCCAGTTACCCTTTACGTCCCGATCGGACGCATATTCAACCATACACTAGACACCAACACATCGGCGGGCTCATCTGATCTAGGATCAGAAGAATGCGAGACCCTCTGCTACAATACATACTCGTAAGACAAGGGACAAACAACCATGCCCAAGGCAGGACGCGAATCGAAGCGCTGAGTCGTTTTATTGCTAGTTAATACGTGGAATTTGTACTGCCCGGTTTTGTGTATGTGGTAACCACCAATTTAACCGAAACCAATGTTAATGCATTCAAAAATCTTAATCTTGCGTCCAACTGTCATAATTTCTCCTCGACTTCTGAATGGTGCCATGCGAGTTAAAGGATATGAATGTCGGCGGCCTTTCAGATTGAACTTTTGATTGATCAACTGATTGTTTCCGGGCGCGTCAATTGATTTCATCATTAGTCGCATGCGTGTTCTGCATGTTATCCCGGGAGGTAGCGTTGTTCCACCCCCGCTGGAAAGAGATTCGGCGACGACTTACACGTCGTCTTGAGGAGTTCTCCACGTAGTTCCACTCGCGGGGCACCGCCCCAGTCCGGACAAGCTCTTAACGCCCGACTAGTTTCCCGACAAGTGAGGTGCGTATAAGTGTGTGTGCTAAAGGTGAAAGGTGCAGCCGAGAATGAGGAAGGAAAAATCGCGTGTAGTCCATAGACAGTGTATTGCCTGGCATTCGACTGATACTGATCGTAGATTCTGCGGAAAACTACCGATCATATTACCCGACCACTAGAATTATCTTCTGGACTGTGCATGAACTTGACACGGCTATTTAACTAGAGTCGAAAATCCTGCCACCGTCGGTACTCGAACCCTAGGACCTCCCAGTCTGAGTTTCTGCGGTGTCAACCTGTGTTCTTCAGAGCTAACTCAGCTGAATTATCGCATTTTATATTCTCTATAATGCCATCCACTATTATCGTTTCCCCTCAACTCCTGAACGCTGCCGAGCCGGGCCAAGGGGTGAGAGGGTGTTGAACGGCGGCGACCGTTGAGGTTTTCCTCTTACGGAGGTTCTCTTGGCCGCGGTTGCCGAGATCGCAGAGGAGCCGTTGCGTCGCGTGGTGTTGCGTGGCGTGGCGTGGCGTGGGGCGCGCCCACGGGCACCGCCGCCAGCTGGAGCTCCGCTGACGCAACCACCATGTGCGCCGCCCACCACGCCCACAAAAAGCCTCAGCCCCGGATGCGGCCGAGACGAAAAGAAGGCGCTCTCCCGACAGGGCGGCCTGCTACTCCACGCCCTTTGCCCCCGCGCAGTTGCGCTGCGTTAAACAAACGCTGCCCAGACGGTGGCAGGCAAAGGCAATCCAAGTGGTAGATGAGATTATGCGGAAGGAGGGCCCTATATATTTAAACAGGTAACCTATGATTAAAGCAAATATTGAAATACGAGTATAGTCGTAATGAACGCGAATATCCCATGATTGTGTAGCTTTGAATTTACCCTGAACTTGCTCTGCATTTGTATCAAATTCTACTAACTGTGCTAATTGAAATTCGATACTCTCAAACTATTAGAGAT